AAACCCTTAAAGCCCTGAACCCTAAACCCCTCAACCCTATAAGCAGCCACAGGACTTTGAAGCTGCTGACTTCAACTACGAACAGGCCAGGCCTTTGGCAAGTTACCCTAAGGGGTTTAGGGTTTATAGAATTTAGGGTTTAGGGTTCATAGAATTTAGGGTTTAGGGTTTATGGAATTTAGGCTTAAGGGTTTCTGGGTTTTGGGGTTTTCCACGCACGTACCTTGTTTATGTGCTTTTGATACCCACAAAAGGCCCCAGGCCTTTGTTAAGTGACCCTAAGGACCAAGTACCGTACTTTGCTTTCTGATCACCTAGATTGGCCCCAAAGTCATATACTGAGGAGTACTTAGTTGGAACCTTAGGGTAGAGGATCAGCCGGATTCGGCACGAAGATTCGATACGGAAGGGGTGTTAAGGGTTTAGGGTTAGGGGCATTGATGGTCTCTCATCAGAGGTTAGTCCGCATTTGTCATGGTCTCATCGGTTTTATATGGATGTGGAGGCTTACATGTAGTCTCCATTGCAGTTCCGTTTTTTGGTTTAAACCAGTTATATGTTTAGAGTTTTTATAAGGTAACCCAAAAAGGAACTACAACGGAGACTATAGGTAGAGTGTTGCAACAAATAAGCTAATTCCTCGGAGAGTTGGTCTTCGGACTAGTACCACCTGAGGTTTCTGTGTTTGAGGCACATGCTTGATTGCAGATAGAACTTGAAGTTCTAAGCCCTAATGAATAGTGAATCGTAAACTAAATCGGAAGCCGGCAGAAACCTGTGAACTAAGTCCATAATATGTTGAGCTTCTCAACCCTAACATTATGCCCCCCCCCCATATATGAAAAGGCCATCATAGTTAAGCTAGGGATTACCTAATGATTCTATTCCTCAGGGTTTTTTCTTATTATTATTATGGTTTTATATATCCCAGAACCCTATTCCAACTATTGAGGCGTCTCTATTATGGCTTATGTTGTACACCCTAACTGCTAAAGGCCCTGGGCCCTAAACCTTGGATGCTACGAAACCTACAGCCTCAGGACTCACGACTCCAAGCTTTTAGAGACCCAAGACCCTGGAAACTCCGCAACCTAAGCTCTTTGGGGTGTACCTCGGGCAGTAGTAGCAGTAGTAGTAGGAGTAGTAGTAATAGTAGTAGTAGCCGTCGTCGTAGTAGTCG